GGGGTGTCACCCCCAAAGAAAAGTAAAAAAGGGGGCCCAAATTGCAGAGAGGGGGCCCTGGAAAGCGGAACGTGTTAAATATTAAGGAATTTTCAGGAAAATTGGACTAAAAAGGTCTTCAAAACTAAATTTAAGCCCCTATTATGTAAACCTAGTGTTTGAAAACATTTTTGGGGCCTCCCTCCCTCCCCCCTCCCCAGTATTTTCCAGAAAAATTCTTTGGTTTCTGGAAAAATGTTTTTAAGGGGGGCCCAAATGGAGGGGGCCCAAATTTTTTATTTCACCCCCCCCCCCAACCAAAAACCACTGGACACGGCCCTGCTTTGACTTTGTGCAAGGTGTTTGATATTCAAATTGCACGTTTTCCTATACAGTGAAAAAGTTTTTGGTTGTAGTACATCCTGCATGTACATATCGGCAGCATTTTCCTTGCAATAGTAACTCCTAGTTATATAAATAAAAAACAAATTATGCCTCAATTATTATTACAGTTTTAGACATCAAACACTCGGAAATGTGTTTATTCGGGGTATGATGACTAGCCACGTATACGTATTTTCATAATATTGACAATAAATTAATAACTTACCGCTCAAAATTTCGTTGTGTGTTGGAATAGTGGGCAAATCATTCCATTCACAGTTAGTTGTATCTACATCTTGACGTCCTGACACTGACTTTGCCAATATCTTTCCAAGATGCACCAAAAATTCCACACCTTGACATTTCGACTTGTCTTTCATGGAATTTTCTCCACTGCTAATCATATGCATGGAATCAGCTACTTGTTTCGCTACGTCCTATGTTTTTGATGCAGTCTTAGGCGAAAACTCCATCATTAATTCCAGAAGTAATTTTAATCTGTTGCTATCGTCACTGGTAAAATAGAAATATCAAACAAAGAAAAAACACTTCAAAACATTGTTTGAAATAATAACAGTCGCAACCATTGGTTTTGTTTTCCTTATTACCTTCACAAAGCTTATGCTGCATTCACAACGGCTTATCAAACATTTCAAAGACTTACCCTTGTAGAATCCGACATATTTACTAGAAAATACATGCATGCAGAAACCCTCGATTTGCTGACAAAACCATTGTATTTTCCAAACATGAAGTGTCTAAAGTTGTCGTCATGGTAACACGATAATTTTCTAAGAATATTCTTACAAATGAAAAATCGCTTATTATACGTAATATAAGCTTCAATTTAAGGTAAAATTCAACCACAAACGCTCCGCAAAACGTTTTAAATTAAATAATAAAGGGTTCCTTATAAAACTAAACTGCCTAATAATTAAATGGCTTTATCGATAAACTTTGAGTTTGCAATAAAATGATTTCAAATTCTCGCATGCAAATAACTTTGCTTTCTTTTTTATTTAAAAAATTCAATATAGTAAAAAAGGGAATCAATATTAAAGATACACTGAAATTATATGCTGTCTTGTTTAGTTGTTTCATATACGCAAAAGCCGTCGGGTTTTAAATCCATTATAAAATCAATATTTAAAACCATCTTACCTTCGTTAACGTCGGCTACCTTCTTTTAGCCGATTCTTTCGCCCTTTCTTTCTTGAAATTTACAAATTCTTGCAAAAATGCGAGCAAAAATGAAATATATTTGCAAGAAATTTATCAATTATCAAATCAACAAATGTTTGCTATTTCGCTGTCGTCATGCAGTCGTTATAATGCAAACTTTAAATTGGACCAATCAGTGTCCGTTATTCATGACAGTCCGCCATATTTTTGAGATCAGTGAGGATGACCACCCACCGAACCACTCACGGTAACCCACGCCCGCGCTCATTGATGAACTTTAGACTTGGCTAATGCTTTCGTTTCCCCGGGTGTAAATAGCCGGGGGGAATTAGTACCCTCGCACGGCGTCGGCTCGGGGATAACCTATTTTAGACCTATTTTTTATCTTATTTAGCCCTATTTTTCCGTATTTTTTCAAAAATATGACTATTTTATTACTATTTATCAAATTTCATAAAATAGTATATAACTATTTACACTCTATTCAAAATATAGGTAATTTATATATTTCAAAAAAACTAGCTTTGAAATAGGTATTCAAATCCTATTTGAAAGAGTAATTGACGAAATCTCACTATAAAATAACTTTTAAATAGCTATTTAATTCCTATTGATGACAAACGAGTCAGTTTAAATAATTTTAAATAGCTTATTTTTAAACTATGTTTGCTTTTATTTTTAGAGCCATTCTTAAAATAATTATTAAATAGCAAAATAAATAGATCTTAAATAGCTACTTAATTCCTATTCATAGAAAGTTGTGGCGAACTTTGTTCAAAATAGCTATTAAATGGCTATTTATAAACTATGTTTACTTTTATTTTTAGAGTTATTGTTAAAATAGCTAATAAATAGCCAAAATAAATATATAGATCTTAAATAGCTATTTATTTCCTATTCATAGAAAGTTGTGAGAATTGAGAAAGGGTAAATGTGTTTATTTAACTCGTCAAAATTTCCCAGTTCATGAGTTCATTGAAATTATATCTACAAAAATATTTATAGTCTTTGTGGAAGTAGTTATTTTGTCATTTTGACAAACACCATTTTTTGACAAAACACCACCCAAAATTCTAACGATAAGCGCGGTTTGACAGACTGATGCCTAGTTTTTCTACAACACGCGCAAAGCTTCCTGGGACAGCGTCACAATTCACACCGCCATATTTTTAAATTTTTTGTTTTATAAAATTTTCCGCTCGAAATACTGAGCTTTTATTTAGCGAAGTTGATATGTATTCAGGGCCGCCCAGAGGTTGACGGGGGCCCGGGGCAAATTTTTTTTTAGGGGCCCCTATCTAAAAAAATTTTCCCGGAAAATTTTTTTTCCAGAGAACAACTTTCCCCCGTCACCAAAAAATTTTCGGTCAGTGTACCATTTAAGGGGTAAAAAAAATTTCCCGGAGTACAAAATTTTTCCGGACGAGTACGTTGCAATTGCTTTCGAAGGACTTTATCTCATTTTTTTATGCCAAAATTCGGTACTTAGCCCAAGAAAACAGATATCTTGTCCTTTACGCGGAAATATTTAACACACAAAAAAGGCTGGGGCCCAACAAAAATTTTTCAGGGGCCCCCAGCAACTCGGGGCCCGGAGCAATTTCCCCCCCCCTGCCCCCCCCTCCTCTGGGCGGCCCTGTATGTATTTTAAAGATTAAACATCATGGATGACTGGGTAACATCCAGGTAAGAATTTTATATATAAATAGAGCAATTTTGAAAGGAAATATTTACTATCTTCATTCGTGAATTTTGAGTATGTGTTCCGGCTATAGATATCTTATATACACTACATAGTGCATCTAATTATTCTGCAATTCAAAAATTGAAGACGTGATTGCAGATTCAGGATATGCCCAAGAAATGAGAAGACTCCTATGTTTTCTATTTCTTAAACAGGGAACTTAAACATTAAGTTAAACCTATTCCAAATACATTTTCAAACTATTCAAATTATGAAAGTTATTGTTGTTTTGTAAGCGTTTATTAGCTAGTGGGAAACTCCAATATGGCCGCCATCTATTCAAATGGGTGGTAACCGCTGGAATATTCTTGGCTTCAATTTTACTAAAAGAGATGCGCTATCTAGTGTATATAAGATATCTATGGTTCCGGCTTAAGATTTCAATTTGCTGCGACATTTGAATTCAAACGATGATATAAATACATTAGTTTTATAGAAAGTCTTACATTTGACTCAGCCTTTATATCAAATTATGTTTATTGTAATGCCAAATAGTATACTTTGACCTTTGTGTATTAGTGTATAATGGCAGATTGTCAGATTCCAGCGTTTCTTGACATCTAAAATAATATAGCTTGGCATCTACTCAATTCTCATATGCCTACTCAGGCATGTCCCAGCTAAATATGGTTTGAGAACATTTATCGACTGGTTTCAAACCAACTGGTACTTTGATAAGTTTCTAATACTTATTCATATATAGGTGGGTCAGTTTAGAATAGATAAAAATATCACTTTGATGTGTTGTTGTCATGTGTGGCAACTTGATTATAGACGTGTCCCTAACTGGAAACAGTTAAAGTCCTTAGTTTACTTGTTCAAACTTATGAATTCATTTCGTTACACCACCTGCATGATCTGCTTTATAATAATATATGTAACAACCTTTGCGCAGTATTGGGCTACATTTTATATATTTTAGAGACACCCCGGCAAGGGTTTGATTGTTTTTGGAATTACCCATTTCACTCCAATGAGCCCAATATTCAGCACTTTGTTATTAAATGTTATCTTGCCTAATGCCGGACAATTTTATTCGTCAAGGGAAGTGTCTAGCTAGAGTGTTAGACTCTGCCCATGTTTCATGTTGATATATTTAGATCAATAAAATGCAATTTTCCTAAAACGTGCTACTTAAGTACTTTGATATTATTATTTAACTCTGACATTTCATGGTAGACAATTTTACTTACCTGAGTGGGTATATTACTACCTTAAAAAACAAGCAGAAACTCGACGTTTCGAGCGAAGGCCCTTCGTCAAGAGTTAGTAGCTGCTACTAACTCTTGACGAAGGGCCTTCGCTCGAAACGTCAAGTTTCTGCTTGTTTTTTAAGGTAGTAATATAACCACTCAGCACAGCATTTTCACATTGGTACTACCTACACTGGTACAGACAGTTTTAGTAATTTTACTTACCGACTGTGGCATGCTCGCCCATATCTCGCCTATTAGCACCTATAAAGGAGCAATTTCCTCTTACGTTACTTACTTGAAGTTCTTTGTAGGGGTGTGCAGGATAGATTTTTTTTGCTATCCAGCTGCATACAGGATATATGTTGGATAATTGAAAAATATCCAGCTAGATTCAGGGTATTATTCAAATATATAAATGTTTTTTTCTAACCTGTAAAGAAGACCAGAACCTAACAGCTGCCGAGCTTCACCCTATTCGAGATGTTACATGGTGCATGTTCTTGCTTTTTTTCTGCCCAGTCCCCAGCCAAGGTACTGTTTGAATATACTTACAGGTAAACTACGTGAAGCGTTCCTCTTTTGAGTTTCTAAATTGATTGCAATTTTCCTCATTACTTTTGCAATTTAAAAAACTCCCTTGCAAATCCCTTGAGGGAATTTGCAATGTTGCTTAAAAGCCAAAAAAAATTTCCTCAGTTCCTGTTAGAAGTTCTTAACTTCCTGTTACAAGTTCTTAACTTCCTGTTCTGTTCTCGGCGTTCCCCATTGGTTAACAAAAATAATCGACCAATAACAACGCTCAGAACAGAACAGGAAGTTAGGAAATTAAAACAGGAAGTTAGGAAAATTTAAAATGAAGTTTGGAATATTGCAACAGCCGATAGGAACATTGCAAATTCCCTCAAGGGATTTGCAAAGAGTTTTTCAAATTTGCAAAGCTAATGAGGAAAATTCAAAATGAGTTACGAAGTCAAAAGAGGAACGCTTCACGTAGTTTACCTGTAACTCTTTGGCTACTATAAAACTGCTAACTATATATGTCTAGTATATTGAATATCTGGCTAAAAGACTACAGATTTTTAACTCATTTATTGGCAGTACTCTACCCACTGACAAGTAAAATTGTCTGGCATTTATAGACGGTAAATACTAAAGTAAGTCTGTAATAGCCTCTGATGTTTCAGCACTTCTACACTTGTTCTCAATTTCTTTTACAAATTATAATTGTTTTAAATTAAAGACTATTAATTTTATACTATATGTTTCAACTTTTTAGTATCTATGTTTTAACTATTTATAATATGATGTTTGTGATGTTACTCTGAGTGTGTATATCCACACCGGGCAAGCCAGAAAAATATGCCTTGCCACGGTGGGAATCGAACCTACAACCTTTGGAATACTAGCCCAATGCTCTGCCAACTGAGCTACGCGGTCAGGTCGGTTCGAGTATGTGATATTTCAGAACTGAGTCTAGTTCCATCGATATCCCACTCAGTTCTGAAATATCACATACTCGAACCGACCTGACCGCTAGCTCAGTTGGCAGAGCATTGGGCTAGTATTCCAAAGGTCGTAGGTTTCGATTCACACCGTGGCCATGCTAGGCATATTTTTCAAGCTTACCCGGTGTGGATACACACTCAGAGTAACATCACAAACATCATATTCACCTGAGTACCACAACACCAACACAGAAATTATTTATAATATATTTTAAAAATATTTAAAGGCTATATGTATTTTGTATACACTATTTAATAACTATTTTAACTGTATTAATGGAACATATTTTAACCATTTATTAAAATAATATTTTATTACTATTTTTTAACTATTTTTAACCTGTTTGGACAATATTATATCCATTATTTTATTTATAATCTATTTGTAATAAGCTGGAACGTATTTTAACTATTTATTATCTATTTTAAAACTATATTATCACTATTTTTGAACTATTTATTGACTATTTTAAACTTTGTTGAAACTCATTTCAGCTATTTATATGACATATTTAATTTTTTACCTATATTGTCACTATGTTTTAACTATTATTTCATATATATTTATTAACTATCTTGAAACTATATATTTTTAATAATTTCCCTAAATAGCCCTATTTTTATTATATTTGAAACCTATTTAATTTCTATTCGAGTAGGCTACATCAATTAAGTATTTGTTTAGACATATATCATGAATAGGAAAAAAATATGGTTCCACTCGGATAGGAAAAAAATAGCCTTTCTACACTAATTTAAGTAGGAAAAACATCGAGAAAAATAATAGTAAAAATAGGAAATAAGTACTTTGACAAATAGGAATTAAATAGCCCAATAAAATAGGAATTAAATAGCAATTAAATAGTGTTTGATTCTACAAGGGACTTGTACTGTACAGTGCAGTATGCCTAACTGAGCAGGCCTGGCTTAATAGTTGCTTTAGTCATAAAATTCAATAGCTAGAAAAAGTTTGAGAAACACTTAGGCCTGTTTCAGACGGCCTACTCTTCATGTGCCGAACTTAATATATTAGATGGAAACTTTGGAGCGACACAAGAACGGCGTATACACAATATGTTATTGACAAGGTTAGGGCGTATTCGGGAGCGAATCATAAATAAATTTTTTTAAAAATAAGTCTATTTTTAAAAAGTTAGATGGCTCGTCTAATATACTAACAGATTTCAAAAAGTCGAGTTTTTAGGGTTGGTACATGAGTGAAACAGCGTATGAATCAATGTCGCTCCATTCGGCTCCAATATCCCCATAATGCGACATGCTCTACCGAAATTGTGTCGACATTTTGGCGCACCATGCAAATTCTGCCTACCGATAATTGATTCGAACCCAATTGTACCCAATTCGTCAATTAAATTGAGCACATGAAAAGTACGCCGTCTGAAACGGGTCTACTCGTTACCAACAGCAGTGCACCACCTACCTGTTCAGTTCACTGGCATTATTTTGAACGAACTGTGGAAATGCAACGATGAAAAACAAAGAGGACGAAAGATCTTGCAAAAACAGTTGACATGTCTTTCTTTTTTTTGACAATTTCTCTGACAACAGAAATGACAATTTCATAACATCTTTTACACATTGAATATCCTTAAACAACTCTTCGTCATTTTTTATGTGGTCCCAAATCCCTAAATTTCTGAAAAGCAAAAAAATTATAAATTGTGAATATATATATTAATAAAAAGAAAACCAAATTGAAACCAAAATTAATGCCATGCATGCGTTGCGCAGCCCATGCACGAGGACACAATTAGGTATACATGCATGCTTAGAAATAGGAAAATCATGACATTCATTCCATTACAACTATTTTGAACAAACAACCGAAAGAGTCCTTTTCCTCCCTTTAATGTCTTTTTTTTTGAGATTGACTCGAGTCTTCGTACGTTGTCTTTGCCGTCCATGAAAATATTGGATTTAAAAATCAATAAAGTTTATGTTTGGCTGTGCCCAGTTTGATTTCTTTTTAATCAGATATTTTGGATCAATGGCCAAGATTTATCAATATTTCTAATTGGGTTCACTAACTATTCCGAATCACATACAAATGACTGAACCTTCTAGTTACTGTCGAAGTGAAACTAATTAAAGTTTGTAATCATTCTGAATGGCATGGAAATGGCCGTTGACCAACGAATTGAATCGAATTTTCCCTTCCCGTTGAAGTGAAAGTATAGTTTAAGCCTGTACAACTTTTCGTTATTTATTAATTTCGTTTCCCCAGCAGAAGAACAATAAACTAAATTCAAAATGTTTCCACACCTACATGCACAATAGGTCACTGTATAAAATAATTCACTTTTTCTCAGCAATAATACCTTCTGTACAAGATGTCATAGACCGTCAAGCCAGATTCACCTTGTGAAAAAAGCTCCAAAACGTCACAAATAAATCTTGCTTTAGCGTCATGAGTTTCTGTTCCTTCCAGTCCGTTGGATCTGTGAAATACAAAAAGTGTCAATAAGTTAATGAAGAACCCGCTGTCAACATTTCCATTATATATACAGTACTGCTCAGAAATAACCTAACTTAGTCAGAAAATGCGTTCGAAACGCAATCCTAAATGCGTTTCATTTGCGTTCCATTTGCATTCCACTTTTACCCGAACGCATCTGCGGAACGCGTTCCTGTTACACTCATATCGAAAATGGACATTGTCGGAAATCATCGCGATTTCCCGAGTTAGTCAGAGTCAATGGCTTATATTTGCTGTCCAGTTAAGAGTCACGAATCAACATAACTTACACATCACATACATGTATGTATGTGGTCAATACTCCAAGACAAAAAACAAAACACATTCAGCTAATTTCATCCATGTAGAAAATGCTCGCACTTTTCACAGAAATCAAAAGGGCATCAAAATAAGCGAAAACAGTTTTGAAGAAATTTTAATGACTTTAATTAACAGTAATTGTCTAAAATTATGGAAATTATTATCACAAGTCATGTATAGTCGCATGTCGAGATTTCGGATATTTGTTTTCTGACGTAGTCAATTCTATGACGTAAATCAAGAGATCAATGGATGCTGGATAGACCAACTCACGAGGCGATGTTAACGCCCAATGTTATTTATGCACGTCTTTAATAATCAATAATCAGGCTTAATAAGATGCCTATAGCAGCCCAGTGTGAATCGTTGTCTGCATAATTATATTAACTTAGCAGCAGCTACATGTAATAGCATGACAACCGACTTTTGCAGGTAGGACGGTCTATTTAAAACTCTGTCTCTGAGATATGTCCATTGTTAGCATAATATGAATTAGTATAAACCTACTAGTAGGCTATCATGTATCGTGCGTTCTGATTGGCTACGCTACTAGTAGGCTATTAGTGATAGCCTACTAGTAGCAACAGCGGCGAAGGGCGCGAGAGTCAATGGCCGTTTTTAAGCATTAAAAGTTGTATTTAAAGGGGAAAAGCTTATCAAAATGGCCTAATTTTGATTCTGGATTACACACAAACAAAGACTCTTGGAAACTGCTGACACATGCGGTAAAAATTTTAAGTTTTCTCAACTTTGCTCGTAGTTTTGAACATGAAAGTGACAGGCGATTTTTTAAAATGTGCAGAATGTTTGTTAATATTCCAAGCAGAATCGTTGAAAATCAACAATACTTTGTAGCTATTTACCCCTATTTTCTCAACCTCTTTAGTGTGTGCTTGTTTTAAGTACGAGTTCATGTATTTAGCTGTCATTTTAAAGAGTTTTTTTCGTTTAAATGTTGAGATTTTGGCCGTTTTTCGTCTTTTTCGAGCCTTTTTAAGTCGAGTTTTTCGATTAAATTTTAATCTAAACTATTGTCTATTTATACTAGATTATGGAAATAGTTTGCCTCATTATGTTCCAGATATGTTAAAGGTTTCAAAGACATTCGGATAATCGGATTCCTTTGCATGTGTGTGCATTTTTATTCGGCTTTTTAACGACGTAAACTTTATTTACTAATTTAATAAAAATTCGGGAAGCCATTTTGTGTTCGAAGTTTTGGATTTTTTATGTCTTGTTTCCTTCTTTTAAATAAGTTTTAATTAACCAAACTTTGCTTCTATAACGGTCTCTTACTATTTTATACTGTTTTATGACATGTTTTTTCAACTTTTTTTAAAACTCACAAGTTGTATTTTTCAAGTCATTCTTGGGAGTTCGCAACACTTAGTAGTTGTCAACAAAGCCAAGACGAAATGTCGCCAAAGCCAAGGAAGCCATTTAAACGCTCATTTCGTTAAAACGGTATTATTTTACATAAACATCAAGTGAAAAATTCCGTTTTCTTTATGTGGTTTATACTAAAACAATTAGACAACTCAGCCTCGTTGTCTCTGAACGAATAGTCAACTCGGCTTCGCCTCGTTGACTATTCGCTCATAGACAACTCGGCTTCGTTGTCTAATTGTTAATTAGTCCTACCGGCCCACTCATATATTCACCTGCCTGTGTCAATACATTTCAGGATATACTATATTTTTCGATAATGCTCATAATTTCTTTCTTATTATGCCTGGCCACGGTGGGAATCCAGAGGCGCCGGAGAATCGA